AACATTAAAGAGGGGGTAGTTGAAATAAAAATAGCTTTTAAAACTGAATATCATAGGCATGGAATGTTTTTGGCTTTATATTGTCCAAGCGTGTGATTTTTCTTCTCCATTTTTAAACCAAAGGATTTTTAGTTACATATAAATTATAGGTTTCTATTAAAAATGTCACTTAAAAATATGGGCAGCTGCTGTGGCAAGAATGTATGTGCCCTGTTTTGGTTTTAAGCTAGCATTATAGATTTGAGTTAGATTTTTCTTTTCTAAACTGTAAATTTACAAATTTGATAGACCTTCAAAAAAAGCAGGACTATTTTTTTAAAGTGACTTATCTTAGAGCTTTAAGATATGTAATTTTTCTCAGGGGCCATACTGTTTGCCCTCCAGAATTTTAAATATTTGATTAGTTGATTGACTGCTTTGAGTGACATTGAGTTGTTTAAGCGCTGAAGAAATAAACTTCATCTGCACTTCTGAAACTGAAAAGTGAATACTGAAAATGATAAGGCAGCCCTCTCCCACCTACTGTCCACCAATTGGGTTGGATTGCACTACTTGTAATTCTCAGCCTCCATGCCAGTTTGGCTGTCTGGGAAGTATGGGAATTGTAGTTCCACACATCTGGAAGGTGCCTGGTTAGTAGGACTGCTTAAGTTTTCCAAATACAACTAAGGTAAACTAACGTGTTAGAGTTTTGGGCTTTGATCCAATCACTTACCCCCAGCCTTCCCACCTCACAGAGCTGCTATTATGAGGATAAAATGGAATGGAGAAGGACTGTGTAAGCTGCCATGGGTTCCCTATAAGAGGGGGAAAATGGGCTGTAAATGCAATGCAATATTAATGTACTCCTACTGCTAATGATGATGGCCTTCAAGTCTTTTTAATATGCCATATGTATGTGCCTTATGCATGTTGGGAGATGGTGTATGTAAGAGGTAGGGTATTAGTACCCTCCAGCTATCATATTTCCTCTAGCACTGCCATATTTTTCAGTGCCCTGGCCTGGGGAAAATCCTATCTGCCAACAACCTTAGTTTTCAGGAGAGATTTGTCACTCCTTTGTTTGTTTCTTGTACATGGTACATATCTGTGGCAGCTTTATGTAAGGCATGGCGCAAGCCTCCCAAGCCATAAGAAAACAAGAAGATACCTAACGCAGCATCCTTTTCCCCACAGTGGCCAGCCAGATGTTCAAGAGGAGTCCCCAAGCAGGCAGAAAGCAGGATTCTTTTCATGCTGCCTCTGCTCCTGGAATAGCTGATAGCCCTACCTTCTGTGACCTCCCCTGAATGCTGATGTGTGATGGAGGCAAATGCATGTTCCAAAACTTGGGTTTGCTATGATAACAGGAATGTCAGGGAGTGAAGTGGGATATTCATAAGAGATAATCCTTATTATCCTTATTGCTTTATCCTTTTTGCATTCTTTGATTCTCTCATGATATTTAGTTGCATGAATTAAAATATTTATACAGTACTTTTCTAATAACTAGGAACAATTAATCCATAATGCCAATACTGATCATAAAAACAAAGTACTTTTGGAAACCCAAACCAGATTAGTCATAGAAATCAGTAATCCCCCCCGCCCCCCAGTCCCAGCAGTCTTGTTCTCTGCTGTTCTTGGAGCTCTACTTGCAGGGGTAGGATTGTGTTTAAAAAATGACAGACATACTCAGATAGGTATCATGAAGGAATGACTAAGCATCACCCACTGACCCATGCTTTGTATTGGAGCCAAACCGGTGTTCATATGGTTTAGAAAAACATAAACATCCTTAACACAAGCTTTTATTTTGAACTGGGGCCTTGCATTGCTTTATTGCTGCCTTATTGCTTTATGGCACCTTTGGAGCAAAGGGCAGCTTCAAGGTTTTTCATTGGAAAATGACATTAAGCCACAATCCAGATTGGGTAATTTCATGTTTGCCTCTAAGTCATAGTACCCTTAGAATATACAGAAGGCACTCTAATATTACCGCTCTGCTTTTCTTTACTGTTTTATAGACATGTAATGGAAAAGTGGAACCAGAGAGTAAATCATATTGAAAACTGAGGGTGGGGGAGTTGAAAGAAAACTATGTAAGATTTCACTGCAAGGTACTTTTAACTGTAGCTTAAATTGGAGACATGTAGTTAAACTGAACATTAACCCAAACCCAATTTGCCCCTTTTTCCTAGGGGATACAATGCTTTAACTAACAAATAATGGCTACTTTGTCAGAAGATTAACAGGTTTCAACATAGCATAGTACTAATGTAGGTTTTTTGTTTTTGTCTTTAAAAGAAATCTAAAGTAAACCTGCAAAATTGGAGCTACTGTGATTGGTGCATTTTATTTTCTTTTGTATAGTTTGGCGACAAATGGGCTCATGCTTTTATTTGTAGTAACTATGGAAACTTTAGAAGCACTCTTTCTAAAGCTGAATATACAATAAAGTGCTTAAAGTGTTGGTCGGATTATGGACTTCAGAATATGTTCAATATTCTATCTCTCTTTTAGGGAAGAACAAGAGGGTAATGTGAATATTAACTGGGGAATTGCTTTAATCTCCTGTGACACTTAAGTCTGTATAGGTCTGTATCCAGCCATCCAGAAGTCTCAGGCTCACTCAGCATGTTAAGGACAGTCATACATATTCATGACTCCGAATTGGAAGAGTTGCATTATGAGCAAGCTACAACCTCAGATCTTTTTCCCCTTCCAGCTGACAAGATGTTAGTTGTATAAAAAGGATTGGATGACTGTAATTTACTTTGTTTTGTTCTTATGTTTGCATTATTCCATCACAGTCTATCAATCCTTTAATTTAAGGTTCCTTATCTTCAGTTTTAATATTAATTTAAGGTACCTTATCTTCAGTTTTAATTAGAGGACTAGTTCATGAAGCTGATCCCTGCCCTCCTCCCCCCACCCCGTGCACCGGTGGGAAGGGTTAGCCAGATCACCTGGAAACACCCATGATGTGCACCAGAACTTTCACACTGAGGATGGGCTTGCTGTCTTAAGCTTTCTATGAAAAAGGACCACACCATGAGCTTGCTGGTGGCAGCCCAATGTAGTTTTTAGGGCCAATTTTGTGTACAGAGAATTGTTTCATGCATTATAGTTGCCATACTTATTCTGAAAGTGTAAAATGCTACTTCAAAAGAATAAACAGCTATAAAGACTAGCATTATGTTTGAAAATAAATAGCACTGTTGAATTGGATACTCATGTTTAGGTTGTAACGGCAGTAAATCCTATGATGTCTTATTTTGTTTACTCCAAAGATAGCTCCATTGCCTCTAATTTTTTTAGATTAAAAAATGGACACCTAGTATATTTAAAAGTAGCATTTTAGTATATGTTCATCAGAAGGCATTACTTAAATCAACCTAATGGTGATAATCTGTTGATTGTCACTGAATACTTGGTGTACATGGCACTGTTCTCTTATCTAGCCTATCTCACTGATGCCTATATCTTTTTTGCGCAAAAGTGAAAGTTTTTATTCTCTATGTTCATTGTGTATGAAAGGGCTTCTTGTAAAATCTGCAAAAACCTCCTTGAAACATTTTTGAAATTGCATGTCGCCAAAATTCAGCTAACTTAGAGTAGTTCTGTGCATTTCCCTTTCCACTGCTCCTAGATGCAGCATCTGCTCTCTGTGTTGTTTTTTTGCTCTGATTTGAACCTGCCCACTCCTCATCTTGTTCTTAAGGAATAAGCTTCCTTGGTCAGAGGTGACTGCACTTCTGTATTGTTCTGTGCATTTTAGCTGAAGTTGTTGAGGAAGGCACAGTATAAATGAAAAATGTAGTACACCTAAAGTGTCAACTTTGAGCTTGTTATACTTTAAGAAAATGGAGTATATGCAACACTGATCCATGTTGACTGATAATCTTTGCCATAATTTTTACAGGCTTTTAAATAGTTTTAGTTCTCATGCTTGCCCTACCCAGACTCCAGACAGTTTTTTTCTCTTGCCCTCTAGGCAAATGGCCATATGAAACTTAGCAAGAAAATATGAGTAAATTATGCATAGCTTTCTCCTGGATGTGAAAGTACATGTAGCTAATAATTGGTACCCTACAGGCACTCTGCTCTGTAGAGTATGAGTCAGAATTCTTTCCCTCTTCCATGGGTGTATTGGAAGAAATTATATTTTGTGGCATAACACCTTGTAGCATTTGAGTAAATAGTTGTAATGGAATGCTGAAATATAGTTTATCAATATAATGAAGATTATTAAACTCAAACTTAACATTTCCCTTAAACTTTGCTTGAAGGAGGACCACCATGAAAGAGAAGTGGATTGTTGCAGACCATCTGAGTCATTAGCTTCTTAACAAAAACAATGCCAGTACTCTTAGTGTTTAAAAATATTTTTCTAATTTTCATTTTATGGAAGTGACACATTTTAAGGGATAAGTAAACAATGCACAACCAATATCAACAAGTACAGTCAATAATTATAAGAAAATTGATTAAAATAGAAAAATGCTATTAGAAAATTAAATAATATGTATGATCTGTTGCACAGTACCTGATGTAAGGTAAATTCAGCTGCAATCCTATACCTAGAAGTAAGTCCCACTGAACTGGGATATTTTTTGAGAAGGTATGCATTGGATTGTGCTTGTCATCTCATGTGTTAGCATAATAATTCTGAAATCCATATTAACTTTGTGTTGCTAATTGATATTTTAAGAATAATTATACCACTTACATTATACCACTTAATAAAACTGTATTTATAGGTAAAATTGATATTGACTGTAATATGATTTTCCATTTATTTTTTCTGTAGAAGTTGCATGCACACAGCATAGGATCATAACATCTGCTGTTTTTTAATACCTCTGACCTGACTTCATTTTATACAGATGATTAAAGTGAATTGATGTAAAGGGCATTGCTAATTTGATCAGACTATTTAAGTTACTGAATACAAATATTAATAGCATTGACCCTGGTATGAAAATAAAAACAAGAAATTCCTTAACTGTGTGGAACAGTTGTAAGCCAGTGGGCAGTGTACACAATCTGTAACCTCACTGAAGAGAATGAAAGAAATCAAGAGTACATTGCAAAGATGGAACGGCAAGAACTGGCCAACAATTCTGTTCTTGAAAGTATGGGACTGAAAGTAGAGCAGCGAGATCAGAAGCTGCTTTTGAAGTCTGTCAGAAAGATGCCAAACCTGTAAATGACTAGAATGTAAAGGATGCTGTAAAGGACAAATGCTCTGTTGTGAATGTGATATAAATACAGAATAAAGAAAACTTTTGACTAGTTTTTTTTGCTTTTTTATTGTTCATTTGAGTAATAAAGTCAAATGGTTATTGGTGTCATTTCACTGAGAGGTTGTTCTCTGATCCTCCAGATTGCTGCTGTATAATAAACAGCAAGGTCATTTTGATGATCCCACCTCTCTCTCTTGCCCCATGTCCCTCCAGTCTGCTCTGTGGACTCAGGGAACCCTTCAGAATACTGTACAAGGGGATACTGAGGCTGCAGAGGAGAGGAGAGAAGTAATTGGGAAACACTTTCTTCCCATCAGGTTCATCTCTTGCTCATGCGTATCCCAAATTATGAATATGAATCAGTTAATGTTTTGGGAAAAATACTTGAGCCCTTTTCTTCAATTAATAAAAAATGCACTGTATTTATGAAGCTGATTTGTAGTCATAGATTGTAGATATTCACCAAAAGCTTCAACAAAGTAAGCATGAATGATCCTGCTTCCTTCCAAGCTTCCTCCAAGTCTTTTGTGAATGGGCAGAAAATATGTGTGTCTTTCATGCAAGACTAGAACACATATCACTCCTGCTTTATAAAACTTTCAAAGCAGAGCCAAAGGCAGTGTGAGTCACTCATACATTTTCTGTCACTGCATTAGGAGATGGTGAGAAGCCAGCTTCTGAGGAATGACTGGAAAGTGCCCCAATATAGCTTCCTTCTCAGAACCAACTCTTTTTATTCTCTTATTTGAGGAATTATTTCATCATTCTACATTGTATTTGAGTAAGGTATTATTGAAAAAAAAGTGAAAACGTGTATGCAACGTTGGTAAATTAAAGAGCGAAGTGCTCTACTTAATTTCTTTTTCCATAATTTTACCATTTCCAAGTGAATTAAATGCTGAAACTGGTGCTGCAGCAGGTGTTAAATTTATCTGCCCCAGGGCTTGTCTCTGTTTCTGGAGGACTGGATGTTTGTTTGAATTTATTTGTTCCCTTGGTAAGTCAGCCCACTTCCCTTTTATTATTATGTTGCTTCTCATGGGCTTTTTCTGAACTCTGGAAGACTTAAAGAGGTAGTTTCTCACTGTGATTAATTCTAGCAGTTTCTTTTCACCCCCTGCCTTTCCAAAACATTGACAAAACTCATTTCCAGTTAATTAATTCAAGAGACACTGAAGAATAGAAGGCTCTGCCTCTCTGTTTTGGATACCATTCCATATTGTTGTTGAACTCTGCCACTGTGGAATGTGCCATGAATGAGATGGGTGGGAGAAAGACATTGGTCAATTAACTCCCCATGTCCCAAACTGGTCGCCTTAAGTTTTTTGTTTTTCCTCTGGACCACTGGTTTTCTTACATAGACTGTTCAGCTGTTGAAGTGTGGCCATGTGTCCTAAAACTGGGTCTTGTTTGCAGTGCATTCTAAACTACTGTAATTCTCCCACCTCTCAAAAAGTAAAAATTAAATAATATTTGCTTTTCAATTAGAATAGTCCAATGTATAGTATTAAACTCATCCTCAACTTCCACACATCCCTTTTCCTTCCCCGTTAAAGCAATCTCAATATTGGGACATCACAAGCAATATAGTCATTTGCTTTGTTTGAATACAATGCTTTGAAGAGAACAGAAGAAAGTTGATTATTTGCTAACCAGTTAATTATTTTACTATACACACCCCTAATTTAGTCTAGGAATACTTTCACATGATCTGTATTTTGAACCATAGAATTCCTTGTGCAGCTGTACTGAAACTCTCCAAGGTCAGCAGTCCTTGGACACAGTTTCATAAAGTGGCATCTAACCAGGTTCAATCATGTTGACAAGCACCACTTCTGAGCAAGGTAAGTAGGCTGGGTAAATATTATGTGCAACATATTTTACATTTCCATAAAATGCAATGTGAGAGGGTTTTTTTTTTTTTTTTTTTTGCAATGAATGAGTTCTTGACCCAGAATTGTCACTGGATTTTTCTTTCAGCAATTAAAGAATTTGACCATTTCAGGCAACAGAGTTGAAGCTGTTTGCACTAATTTTATCCAGTTAAAATTAGGTTTAGAAAAAGAATAGGAGTCTGTTTTTCTTCCCTTGCATCAGTCACTTCATTGAAGCAAATCCCCTTCACTAGTGGGATTTGCCTAAGTTAGATACTAGTAATAACAGATGTGGAAGAGTTTGTTTGTTGAAAATACATAATGGGTAACGTTTTGCGTTCTAAATGCAAAATGTGGGGCTTTCATGGTGGAAAACCATGTACTGTATTGAGGGTGGCTGGCTTTTGATTTACCAGAAAAGATTCATTCTCTGAACACAACAGCTCCCCTGTCCTCTTCCAGTGGTGTTCTATCTTCTAAGGGGCATGTTTTGCATGCTAGAGGATTAATACAGGGCATCCACTGGTGATGAGGGGGTGGGCTTAACAAGTTTGAAAGGAAACAGAGTACTTGGATCAAGTCTTGTGGCAATCTTACTGCTTTCAAGAGCTTGTAAACAAAAGAGATCAGTTTTTCTCCCTCTTTTCTTCAAAGGCAGATGAGGGGTTGGATTTTCATGATAATGGGTGACTGAATTCTAGCTGTGTTTGTATGTTTTAATTTGGGAGAGGAAGGTATAAATCCACTCCCTAATTGAATTGCATGCTGTGCCTTTTAGTAGCTCATGAATTGCTGTAGGCTTTTGTACATGTCTTGTATAGGGAAGTATTTCCAAATGGCATCCCCTAACCAGCACATGATTAATATATAAACCTCACGGTTGATTTGTGTTTGCTGCATACAGCATTCTAAAAGTATATCACAATTTTTTAAAAGCAAATTCAAATCAAAACTGACTCAAACTTATCCTTTGTTTTGTTTTGTGTTTCTGTTTAATTGTCCTTAATTTCCCATAAAGACTGTGCAGCTATCATAATTCTAATTGGGTCATTCTAGTATGATGAATTCAGTATTATGCATATCTTCACAACATATATGAACTATCAAGTTTTGAATAAAAATTGAGATTTTGAATTTTGAATCTATAAAGTACAAGGAATCAAAAACATTTTTCCCTAAGGTAAAATCAAATTAATAGAATCCCTGCAGTGCTGTCCAAGGTTCTGATAGAAAGGCTCAAATATTAGTAAATCTTTGGGAAACATAAATCTTTCCTTGCTTCACATTGTGACACAATGGTATGAAATATTTGTTTAGGCAAGTACAACAATGAAACTGTTTGTATAATTTTTAAATTATATTTTCCATTTATGGCAGTGCTTTAATTGATTATGGCTATAATTTAAAAGGATAGAAATTCAACAAGAGGGCCATTGCACTTACTTTGGTTTGCCTTTAAAGTTATAAAGGACAGTTAGCCATGCTTGCAAGCTGTGATTTTTTAAAAGTTAAGTTCATTTGAAAACGTTGGCTAGAATCTTTCTTTGTGAGAAGTTTTATACATTGTGTATTGAAGGTTTGTACTGAAGAAGGCAAGACATCCCTGCAAATGTTGCTGCTTGCTTATGTTGAGAGTTTCCCTCCACACAGTAAGAGGCAAGCGATTCCTGAATAGGAAACAAGTGCCTATTCTTTCCCTGTTTGCGTTCTGACTCTTCTTCTGTTTCCCCTTAATCAGGGATGGGAGCATGTGGCCCTTCAAGTATTGTTGTTCTACAGCTCTCCACAGCCCTAGTGGGCATCACCAATGGTAAAGGATGATGGGAGTTGCAATCCCAACAATAGCTGGATGGCTACACATTGTTCATTACTGTCATATGTGGTTTATGGAGTGTAAATTCCTTGGAGCAAGGACTAATGCTTCTTCACTTTGTCAAGCACCATGCACATCTTTCAACATGTATACACCACCTTTCTAGGCTACCCCTCACACAAGCTCACATCAAACAAAACAAACAACTCAATCAAAATTAAATGTAAGATAACATAAAAAGCAGAATCCATTCTGATGTCCGTACAGGATCAGGGCTTGATCCAGACCAAGTTAATCACACTTTCATTCCACTGAAATCAATAAAAACAAAAATGGCTTGACTTTGGCTCGATTCTACTCCTGTTGTTTTTCATGTAGATATATCTGTATTGCAGATATGTGTGATAGATACCCTTGACTCTGCAGTGGATGAATATTACATAAAGCAGCATTCTGTGGGTTAAAAACATGCATTTTGATATAAGAACAAGTTCTCATTGATATATATTTGTTTCTTATCCCCCTTTTTTCCTCTTTGGGACCATAGGCTCTCTGGTTGAATTACTGTGGAGGCTGCAAAACAGGTGCTTGCTCTACAGAGGGCCTTATTCTGTCATTTCCACTGGAGCCAGTGGCCTTCTGAACTCCCCTTTGCTACCTCCTTCCCCCTCAATATTTTTTATGAATGATAGCTTTTCAAAACCCTGGGAACCACTTGTTGGGAAAATTGCTCATCACAGGGTGCAGTCAAATCCTACACATTTCATCAAGGGGATCTTATGAAAGGAGTAATACTGTGCCCACAGGTATGACGTCTTTGTGGGGCCCTTCTTCTCCTGCTCTTCCCCCTCCCAGCTCTCCTTTATTTACTCCTAAATATGTTCTTTTTAATTAATTCCAGTTGACTAGCTGGTCCTTTCTTTTCCTGCATGTGCTTCTCAATTAAACTCTTGTTTGTTTAAAAACTTGAAGCTTGTTTAGTAGATCCCCTGGGGAGATCCCAGAAATAGGTGGCAAAATAGATACCCCAGAATCCAGAGTGTTGCATTGACAAGTCTGTTCTTTGCTTAGGAAAGGGCAGTGACACTTACTAGAGGAAGTCTGGGATGCTTTGACAAGTGATCACTAGCCAAAGCTTTCAATAAATTGCACTTGAGGTTATTGGTCCCCAGATGTCTTTCTCCTCTCTGGTTCAGTGGAAATGGATATTCTTTTTTGTTTCCCTTGCTTATCTTTAAAAAGAATGTTGAGTTGTGCATGTTAGGATCTTCTGCAATGATGTTTAACAGAAGAAGAGTGAAAATATAACTGGGAGATACTTTTATTATCTGGAGACTAAGTACTTCATAGATTGATCTGCCTCCC